TCCTATTTAGTAAAGCGTTCAAACCTTCAGATTTTTTTTGAAAGATTTCCCAAATTAAATTCTAAATAAAGTTTTTTTGATCCTGTGTTAATATGTGATTTCCCAGTAGACTCCTGGCAAAATTTTTTTCTCTGCTGGTGCTAGGGATTGAACCTCAGGCTTTGAACTTGCTGTACTACTGAGTTATCAACTCCACTAAAATATGAGAAATTGATTACCATGTTTTTTTTTTTTAAACAAAGTCTTCCCATATTGCCCAAGGCTGGTTTTGAACCCTTGGGCTCGAGTAGTCTTACTGCCTGATATCTCTGAGTAATTTGGACTACAGGTTCAGCATGATACGTGGCTCTCCCTGGAAAAAAAAATTTTTTTTTTGCATTCAGAATTAAACCATGGCCTTTGCACAGCTCTGCAGAGTCCTTTTTTTTGTTTTGTTTTGTTTTTTTAAATTTAGTCATGACCATTCTAAGTCCTTTCTCATTCACAGGCAGTTACTATTTACTTCAATGCTTTCCTGAAAACTTTTGCAAACAGTTAAAATTCAGAAGTACTTCATCTTCAGAGGTTCATGGAAAAGATTTTTACAAGTACAGGTTTCTGATAACTTCTGATATCATATTGATAAGCATGTCCTTGGACTAAGAATTTCTAGAACTAGTAGCCCAAGATCAATCAGAAGAAGAATTAATGATATGAGATTGGATGAACTGATAAAAGATAATTGCAGATTTGGTTTTGGAACATTGCTGGTTTTATTTCCAGATTTAAGGAACAACTTCCTATAACTTACAGCAATTAGGCAAAATACATCTTTGTCAGCAAAAATGAAACAACTCCTTTTTCTCCCTGCCTGATATCTCCCAAAGTTCAGAAATTTATTGAATATTCTTATTTTCATGGCAATGTAGTTATTTACATATGTTCAGTAGGAATATATTCTTGCAAAGGACAATTGGAAACATTGCTTTTATTACCAAGGCATTGACTGGAGTGTCATATTTGAGAATGTTGTATAAAATTAAATGTGACCAGTTAGCCTTAAAGAACTAAGATTGACCTTAAGATGCCAGTGCTTGTAAGAGCTCCCTTGAAAAACCTAGCCTTACACCTTCCTTTTGGATGTAATCTAGGCCAGTAATAGCCAACCTGTTAGAGCTTGCAATGATACAAGCAACCTCACTGCAGAACACATGGCGTAGATTCACCACCACTGATCTAGGCATTACAAGAGATCAAAGAAACTTCAGAATGTTTTGAGAACCTCGTGAAGAATTCCCTCAGACCCATAGAACTTGAAAGTAAAATTTGGTGGCAAATCCCTGGCTTGGCTTTGTAACTTTGAGATGCTTTCCAAAGTCTAACCAGAAGCCAGCTGTGGTGGCATACACCTGTAATAGCTACTTGGGAGGCTGAGGCAAGAGGATTGCAAGTTTGACGCTAGTGTAGACAACTTAGGGAGACTCTATTTCAAAATAAAGGGTTGACGATGTAGCTCAGTGATAAAGTGCTTGCCTAGCAAGAATGTGGCACCATACAAGAAAGGTGGGAGTGTTCCTGAGATTTCTTGAATAAGTTATAGCAATGAAAATACAATTAGGACACTCTGGTCAGTTGCCATTCTTGTTGCACTAATGTAAACAATCAGACCACATCTAATAAGACTAGATTTATTCTGTAATCAGAAATGGAAAGTGGTGGGGAGAGGGTGATTGTAGAGAGAAAAACCCTTGTTCCAGCAGAAAACTGTATTGTATCTTTGTGGCTTCTGCCACACACATTTTGCCAGTTTTTAGCAAGGTTCTAATTATTCTACTTTCCTCTAATAACTGGCTCTAACTCTCCAAGCTGTTATTTCCAGTTCTTTACCATCCTCCTGACTTGGCATGACTAAAGTGACCTTTTCCTAAATCCCTGTACACTGAAGCTGGGTGACTCCAGAGAAGTCACCCCAGCAGATTATATATGGTCAACCTTCATGCCTGTTACTGTGAGGAGCACTCAGAAAGTTCACCTTTATACCAAGGTACATTACCAGAGATACTAATACTGTCAGATTGCTCTGATTGTCCTGATTCCATCCGAATATGCTTTTGAGTTGAACATCTGACTTTTTGAGTGAATACCCTTTGGACTTAATAACTGAATTTACCATTTGTTTTGTTAACCTTTTTTTCTTTTATTTTCATTGAAGTACCCCCTCATTAAATGTCTGATTGTTCATATGCCTTGTAAATAACCTTTACAAGCAGGCGCCAGCTGATAGTGAGCTGGCTCTACTGAACAAAAGGCGACCAAAAAAAGGACTTGCCTTGTTCCCTGGAAAGAAAGACATGTCTTTTCTTTCTTTGCACATATTGTGCTTAACCGTGCTTTAAGAAGTACTTCTCAATAATTTTTTTCTCTAAGAGTTGCTTCGAACATGATGACTGTTGCAGGAACTCCAGTGCATTTTTTAACTGAAAAGTTTTGGCAGGAGGATTACAAGTTCAAGGCCAGCCTGTAAACTTAGCAAGACGCTGTTTCAAAACGAAAAATAAAACAGAAAAAGGCTGTGTTGTAGCTACTTTTCTCATTGCCGAGACAAAATACCTGACACCCACAAATTAAAGGAAAAAAGGTTTAGTTAGCTCACAGTTTGTAGAGGTTTCAGTTCGTGGTTGGCTAGCTCTAAGGCAGGGTGGCATGGCAGAGGGGCATCACAGAGGAGAAACAGTCCGTGGCAAGGCAGGGCAGGTAGAAGACAGCAATCAGCAAGTAGCAGAGCAACTTCTTTTCTGTCACTTTATATTCTGTCCAGGCTACCTGCCTTTTGAGTGGTGTCAGCCACATCCTGGGTGGGGCAGCCTTAATCCCAGCATCACACACACTAATCTAGCCACCTTTGAAACTCTTTATGACTACAGGAGGCTTTGGGGGACCTCTAGATACAAGCTATAACAGGCTCTGTCTGTATAAACAGACAGTCTATGAGAGCTGTCCTATAGCCTATAACAGTGCCTAACATATAGTTCACTCTCAAATATTTCTCTATTAATGAATGAAGAAAACTGAAGAATTCTTAAATGCAAAAGATAATTTTTGCTGGTTTAATTAAAATTGCCCTTGATAAATTACAGTCATACCTTGATGGTACTTGACTAGTTGGTCCCTGTACTCATTGGTTAGTACTTGATTGCCTCGTGACTTGCAGCCCTTTCCAGCCAAAACAGCTTGTTTGGTACATGTCAGTTTTGTTGCTTGTTGTACCTCCTGGAACCAATTAATGCCATGTACCAAGGTACTATTCTATGGCTTCGAGGTACTGTTAAAGACTGGAACTTCTGGGCTAGAGATGTAGCTCATTGGTGCCTTGCCTCCCTGGCAAGCACAACATCCTGAGTTCTATCCTCAGTACCACCAAAAAAAGAAAGAAAAAAGAATGAACCTTCTGTGGAGACAGTTTATATACCTTTATATTGAACTTTAAAAGTAGGTGATTTTGAATCTGCATACAAAATTTCAAAACCATTTGCTTTTCCTACTTTTTAAGTGACAGAATGTTTAAGGGGTTAGTGAAAACACTGATTTTTAAGCTATGTTTTATAGACCGCAAATACTTAATGCCTTTCAGTCTTAAGTTGAAATACATGTTGTCACAGGGCTGAAAAGTTTTACTCACTATAATGAAGGGCTCTAAAATATATAGTAAGCAGCTTTGCTTTCAACTTTTCAAAAATTTAAAGGGAGTTAAAATGAATACCCATATGGCTACTTAGATACATCAATTATTAACTATTTGCTGGATTTATATTTCCCTTCCACACATTTTATCTCTCTGGCTCACACTTTCACTGTTGTCTTCGCTACACTCATACGTCTGTACGTATACGTTGGTGGTTTTTTGTTTTGTTTTGCTATTAAAAGTTGTAGGTGACATGTCACCCCAATATCTCGTTGTGTGCCAGTGAGATAAATAATGCAGTGAAGGTTTAAATTTTTAAAAAATTTGTTAAAAGACATTTCCATTGATCCCTCTTAAAATACCCCCACCCCTTTGCTTCAAACACACCTGTCCCATTCTTACCATTGTCTAAAGCAGTTCTGGAAATCCTCTTCTCTGTCCTCGTCAAGGTTTTGTTGCTTCCTCTGTGTCCTGAATTGATTCAAAACAATCAACTTTCATGGTCATTTAGACTTTGAAGAGCCAGAAGTTGCACAGTAAACAGGTCTGATGAATAAGGTAGATGAGGACACATCAGAATGTTTTTTTATAAGCCTGCCTTTCTCTTAGATAGCCCTCAGCAGTTGGCATTCATTGTTTTTGGTTACACTTTGTAAAGATACGAAAGGTGACTTACAAAACAGCTCCAGAGTGGCAAGATGATGGAATAAGTCTGTTCAAAATGAGGGGAAGTATTTCGAGGGGTCTGATGGGCAGAGTGTCTGTTACTGTAATAAATTTTAAAATGTAAGTATTTACTGTATACTCCAGTCACATTGTGTATTTCTTAAGAATAGGGCCCATCTGACCATTTACTGTGTGCCCACATCTCTATTATCATACCTAAGGACATAACTTTGAGAAAATAAAAACATCTAATATTCCATACTCAGACTTCCCCATTGTCAAGTAATGTCCTCTGTATATTTTTTTTTCCTAATCAAGAACCATGTTATATTTGGTTGTAATGTCTCTTTAGCTGTCTTTAAAATGATTCCTTTGCCCTTGTTGTCCCCTTTTTTATTTTTACTTGACGCTGGCATTTGGAGAATTGAGGGTGATAGTCTGAACGTTTTTTATAATTAGATTAAGATTAAAAAAATTTTGCAGGCTGGGGATTTAGCACAGTGGTTCTGCCATCTGCCTTGCAAGCATAAGGACCTGAGTTCTATCCCTATTACCCCCCCCAAAAAAAATTTGGTGAGGAAAATGTATAAATTTGTTACCAGGTTTTAATGATAAAATAACTTAGAATGAAAAGCAAAACAAAAGGTAATTTTCCTCTTTTTCTTTTCTGCAGGATTCTGAACACAAGCAGTTTGCTGTGTGACTGTCATTTAAAATGGTTACTTCAATGGCTGGTTGATAATAACCTTCATCATTCTGTAAATGTAAGCTGTGCCCATCCTGAATGGCTAGCCGGACAAAGCATCCTGAATGTGGACCTAAAAGATTTCGTCTGTGGTTTGTATTTTTGTTTCTAAAACTTCTGAATAATTTTTGTTTGGTTTGGTTTGGTTTGGTACTAGAGATCAAACTCAGGACCTTGTGCTTGCAAGACAGACGTGGCACCACTTAGCTAAGTCTCTGGCCCTTCTACAATTTTTTTTTATAACAGAATTTAAAAATTTTTATTGATATATGTTTGCAGTACATAATTATTGCATTATATTACAAAAAGGTTTACTTTTATATATGTTGTCCATGCTGGATTACAAACACAGTTTTTCCCCCTACTGTTTTCAGTCTGCAGATGGTTAAATCCTTGAATGTGGCAGTCATGTGTAGGGAGAACCAACTGTACAGTGTTTAGATCAGTGTATCAGTTTTTGCACCACTAGGATGATCTCTGTTCACCTGTAGATTACCAAATCTTGTTCTCACAGTCTACCTTAAGCTACTTGGGGCACTTGGAAGTTGAAGCCCTTGGAGTTTTGTTTCTACTTCTGTAATTTTTACAAAACTTAAAGAAGAAGGGTGGGGATTTAGCTCAGTGGCACCATGCCTGCCTTGCAAACACAAAAAGGTTCTGAGTTTGATTCCCGGTATGGGGGGGAAAAATCGTGAAGAAAACAAAAAAATCTAATGCAGATTGAATTCTGCTTATGTTGTCACTCGTTCTGAATGAAGGTACATTGTATATTTTATCCTCCATTTCCACTTACAACTTTTATAGCACGGTGAAATGTTATACAGTAAAGATGCTGATTAAGAATTCATAAGCCATCGTCTCTGAATCAATCCCCCAAAATTTATTTATAAATCTAGAGTTTATTAGCTAGTCCTAAACCAGTATTTAGTTTTACATTTGCCATGTTTGGAACTTTTCACTATTGTGAAAGTTTCAGACCACGTTCACCACTGAATTAATATCTTTGAGTAAGCTATTTGATTTTTCTGGCCTTCATTTTTCCCATCTTTTTTGGTACTGGGGATTGAACCCTGGACCTTGCACTTGTGAGTCAGGCACAGCACCACTGAGCTAAATCCCTGGACCTATTTTCCCCATCTTTAAACAATGGTATTAGATGGTAGCTTGTGGTCTCCTTCAGCCTTAGTATTGGCAGTGTTTTTGTTTTTGGTTTTTTTTTTGGTACTGGGGATCGAACTCGGGTCCTTGTGCTTGCAAGGCAGGCACTGGAACCACTGAGCCAAATCCCCAGCCCTGGCAGTGTGTTTTTAAAACTCACAGTTTCACGGTGTTTTAAAATTGGACCTTAAAAACAAAAACAAAACAAAACAAAATTAAAAAACTGACTTGGCTACTGCTGCATTTTTTCTTCTTAGATGATTTTCTCAAGCCACAGATAAGGACACATCCTGAAACCACAGTTGCTCTACGGAGCATTAATGTGACTCTGACCTGTACTGCGGTGAGCAGCAGTGATTCACCAATGTCCACGGTGTGGCGCAAAGACAGTGAAATCCTGTATGATGTGGATATTGAGAATTTTGTTCGTTATCGGCAGCAATCTGGAGAAGCTCTTGAACATACTAGTATCTTACATCTTTTCAATGTGAATTTCACAGATGAAGGAAAATATCAGTGTATTGTTACTAATCACTTTGGTTCCAATTATTCTCAGAAAGCCAAACTAACTGTGAATGGTAAGGAATTACTGTTCTTGATATTTTGTTTTGTTTTGTTGAGACAGACTCATGGTGGAGTTAAGGTGATTGTTCTGCCTCAGCCTCCCAAGTGCTGGGATTACAGGCATGTGCTAGGCTTTTTCCTTGATATATTTTAAAAGGAGTTTTCATGATCAGTTTTAAATCACTTGACCCCCAAAATTAGAGGACCTAAGATTTGAGGGAGAGATCTTACTGATACTGTTTTTTGAGATGTGTGTAGAGTGGGTGAAGTTTTGGATTAGCTAGTATGTCTACTTATCATCCATAAGTGATCTTTGGTTAAGAGGTAAATTCATGACCCTAGGAGATGAGCCACTTTCATTGCAATTTGTACTTTTGGGAACATTCTTTTGGTATTCTAAATTTTCTTTCTAAAACCATAATTCTCTGAAAAGTGAAATTTATTCCTGATACTGTGTGCAGGGCCTTCTAATAACAGTATTTAGGATATTTCTGGGTCTAGTTATTAAATATATTCATACAGAATAAGTTTTGAAATTAATGCTCTTATTTCCTGTGGCTGAAAAAAACTTCTTCAATGCTGCTTGATTTATTGCCTGTTGGATTGAGGAACTGTAACACTTTAGTCTCTATGCACTCAAAAGATGGGTCTTGCTTTTGTGCTTTTTTGTTTTTTTGTTTTTGGGTACCAGGGATTGAACTCGGGTCCTTGTGCTTGCAAGGTAGGCCACGGAACCACTGAGCTAAACGCCCCCCCCCTTTTGGGGGTACCGGGGATTGAATTCGGGTCCTTGCAGTTGCAAGGCAGGCCACTGAACCGCTGAGCTAAATCCCCAGCCCCTGTTTTTGTTTTTGAGTCAGGGTCTTGCCTTGTAGTTAGGGTTGGCCTTGACTACGTAGCTCAAGGCAACAATTCTCCTGTCTCAGCCTTTTGAGTGCCAGATTTACATGTGTGCACTACCATGCCTGGCTGCTTCTGAGCTTTTAATGAGATTCTTTTAAAGGCATAAAGTTTTTTTTTAACATGCATTTCCCTTGGCAACTATGTTGATGTTAGTTTGGGAAGTGCTGTATAGCTTTGTGAGAGAGTAGCACTAAATATCAAATTAAAATATGAAGTTCAGTAAGGCTCATGGCCTTTACTTTCCCTATTCCCATAAGCATGATCGGATTGGCATGTTACACATTGTGGAAGAGTTAAGTGTCACCGTTCTGAAGTTCTGGGAGAAAAGATGGTCTCTAAAGCTGTCTTCCCTGTTATTTTAGAAAGCCTGTGTTCTCTGAGAAATGGAACATTACAGCAGTTATTATTTTGCTGTGTGTGTGTGTGTGTGTGTGTGTGTTTGTGTTTTCCCTCTTGACTACTTTCTCTTGATGATCTTTCTTGAAACAGAGATGCCATCTTTCCTGAAAACTCCAATGGACCTAACTATTCGCAGTGGTGCCATGGCCAGGCTAGAATGTGCTGCAGAGGGGCATCCTATACCTCAGATTTCCTGGCAGAAAGATGGTGGTACTGACTTTCCGGCTGCTCGAGAAAGACGCATGCACGTCATGCCAGAGGATGATGTCTTCTTCATTGCTAATGTGAAAATAGAAGACATGGGAATCTATAGCTGCATGGCACAAAATATAGCAGGAGGCCTCTCAGCAAATGCTTCACTGACAGTGCTAGGTACGTTTACTGCTTGTCAAGGGTGTCTGGGTTTTTGAGACTTGCTGTTGGTCTTTATGGGCAAGAAAAACGAATGAGAGGTTTTAGTCATGATTCTTACCTTGTTGTGATTTTTGCCACTTTTATTTTGTACGGGGTATTGAACTCAGGACCTCATGCTTGCCAGGCAGGCACTGTGCCACCGAGTTAAATCCTTGCACTCATTTTGCCACTTTTTGGAGGATTGTATCAGCTTAGAACATCAGTGGGTCAGATAATTTGAACTCTGGGAAAATGTTGAGGCCAGAGATCTTTATCACATGAATTGAAAATTCAAAACACTTTATCACTTTATTCTTGTATGTCTACCTCTGTAAGGTTTCTGTTTCATATGTTTTTCTACTACCCAGTGAGCTTGTATTGAAAGTTTTGCTGTGTTTCTTTAAAGAATCTCAGCCCTTTGATGTTGCTTCATGTACTGATTTACAGAGAATCTAGGGCAAATTTGTTTTTTTCCCCCTAGTTAAAATAATAAAAAATTTTATCTGTCTTCTGATTAGCTTTTCTTTGTTTTTGAGACAGGGTCTCACTATGTAGTTGAGAATGACCTGGAACTCACTATGTAGCCCAGGCTGGTCTTGAACTCATAGTGATCCTCCTGCCTCAGCCTTCCGAGTGCTGGGATTACAGGCATGAGCCACCTGATTAGATTTTTCTGTCTTCCTTCCAGTGTGCCTCTCATTACCCTCCATTTTTTTTCTGGAGTTGAAAATTTTTTTTTATTGGTATAATTAACAAAATTGTATATATTTAAGGTATACAGTATCTTTTTTTTACAATATTACATTTTGAAGCACATATATGTTGTTAAGTGATGAGAATCAAGCTGATTAACATACCCACCATCTCACTTACTTAAAGCCATTTCCATCACTTAGAAACATTTTATAATAACACGAGTTAAGTTTCTGTCTTAAACACAAAGACATGTTCAGCATCTCACTCCCAGAGACAGAGTAAGACAATTAAGTGAGTATCATGATAGATAGTTTCTTGATATCTTTATATATTAATGCATTTTTAAAAATTGGCAGTGCCACAAATACTGTTGTAACCTTCTGTTTCACTTAATGGAGTGTCATTTCAGTAAATCCATGTCAATATCATGATATAATTAATAATTTTTCCCTCCGTCCCACCCCTAGTAACCTCCTTATTGCCCTTTGCATCCGTATTTCTTTTTAGAGAAAATAACTTTTTCCTAAAAATTTCCCTGACTAGTGTTTTTGTTAATTCTTTTTTCAGCTTTAATTGAGTTTATTGTGGTACATTTTAGGGATACAGTATAGTTAACATTCATTGTTGGGAATTTGTACCTCTACATGACAAGTCTTGGTTCTCATTTTTCCCCCTTGTTTTGTTATTTTTTTGTTCTTCTTCAAAAGCTTTTCTTCATGGAATTTACCAGAAGCCACTTCTGCTTTCTAATTCTGTTTTCCTGATACCTCTGATGTCAGGGACTTTTTGAAGTGTGTGTGTGTGTGTGTGTGTGTGTGTGTGTGTGTGTGTGTTTTATAATCAGAAAAACAATTTATTGACTTAAAATTCTAAGATATAGAAAATTAGGGTGAGTTACTCACTTGGAGATTTTAGCATATTTAGTCTAGACTCTTAAACTTATTTTTATATACAGTTAGGTATGCCTGCTTTTTAAAAATATTGTATTGCAAGGATTACCCTATCATTAAAGCAAAGTCCTTGTAAAACATATGTGACTCTAATTCATTTAAGTATTTTCCTGTTAAACTTTGATATTTTCATTTCTATTTTTAAAATAAACATCATTTTGTATAAATCTTTGTGCTCCTTGATAGAGCTTGCCCAGGGTGGAATTACTGAGAGAAGATTCCCTGGTACCTAAATAAACAAAACAACAAAATTTAGGGCTTACCTATTTATCTGTGTAGGATTTGCGGGGGCGGTATCAGGGTTCATGCTCTTATCACTTAGCTACACCTATAGCCTCAGATTTAGATTTTTGTTTTTTTTGAGAGAGGGTCTTACTATGTAGTTCAGGCTATTCTTAAACTCGCTGCACAGCCCAGAGTGGCCTTGAACTTGGCAGTGATCCTCCTGCCTCAGCCTCCCAAGTGTTGGGAGTACAGGTATGCACCACCTCGCCTGGCTCAGATACAGGTTTTTGTAGTTTGAGGCTTTTATTTTTCTGAAACATTACCTTCCAAGCTTCCCATATGTATGTGAAAATACTCATTTCATCATGGCTTCTGCAGTATTACTCAGTAGGATTTAGGGAATAAAATTGCCTAACTTGATTTTTTTAAATGATTTCTTGTTAGAGACACCCTCATTTATTAGGCCTCTGGAAGACAGGACAGTAACCCGGGGTGAAACAGCCGTGTTACAGTGCATAGCTGGAGGGAGTCCCACCCCTCGCCTCAACTGGACTAAAGATGATGGCCCACTGCTGGTGACAGAACGACACTTCTTTGCTGCAGCTAACCAGCTTCTCATCATTGTGGATGCTGGGCTAGAAGATGCGGGGAAATACACTTGCATTATGTCTAATACTCTTGGGACAGAACGTGGCCACATTTACCTGCATGTCATTTCATCCCCCAACTGTGATTCCTCTCAGATTAGCAGTGGGCACGATGATGATGGCTGGACCACAGTTGGCATTGTCATCATTGTGGTGGTCTGCTGTGTTGTGGGCACCTCTTTGGTCTGGGTCATTGTTATTTACCACATGAGAAGGAAAAATGAAGACTATAGCATCACAAACACAGGTGAGTGGTACCCAGATGACACCTTTGGCTTGTACTTGAGTTAGAATGTAGTATAGGATTTATTGGAAAAATAAATAATATTGAGGAACTATACATTTACAGGAGGTATAAAGAAGTTTTTGTTAAAATGCTCACTTCCTTGATAGAACCTATTTTTAGAACTATTTTAAGAATTTAATACTCTCTCTCAAAGCTGTGCTCTTGTAACTGTTACAGGTGCACCTTTCTTTAACATGTTCACAGCAAGGACGGTAATTCATGTCTCTCTGCTGGTGGCTTTGATTTGAGTATGTTACATGTAACCTCTGGCTTGAACCGGCAGTGATTCATGCATGACCGTCCCATCAGGTAATATAGGACAGTCCCATCAGACTGGGTCAGTCATACATGTACCACCAGTGGTTCAAGCTGGCAGCAATGTGTAATGCCTAAGGTTCATTTTCCTAATTTTACTGCTGCGTAGAATAGAGCTCTCATGACTTAAGTCAGTCTTTTACTCCTCTCACACTGAAATCTGCAAGAGAAGAGATCCAGTCAGATTGTGCAAGTGTGGCTCTAGATAGACTTCAACCTTTAGGTTTTGTTTCATTTGGTAAATCCCGCCTACTGGAGATTGAACCTAGTGCCTATGCATGCTAGGCAGGTGCTGTACCTGAGCTATACATCCCCAGTCCTGGTAATAATCCTAAAGTGAAACTGAGAATTCTAGTATAAAATAATTTTGGGGAAAGTATGAACAGCTTATAGGGTTCTGAGTCCATACCATTTTCCCAAGTAGTCTTATTACAATGGAACACATTTACAAAATAATCTTCTGAATGTTAGCTTCAGCTGCTCACCTGGAGAGTCACAGATGTTTCTTTTTACAGAGGAGCTCAATCTACCTGCAGACATTCCCAGCTACTTATCTTCTCAAGGAACACTCTCTGAGCCACAGGAAGGCTACAGCAACTCTGAGGCAGGCAGTCATCAGCAGCTTATGCCTCCCGTCAATGGGTACATGCACAGAGGCACCGATGGTAAGGCTCTTTGTTGCTAATTGTTATAACTTCGCCCAGTCCTGGTGGGTACATGTTTATACAGGTAGTTTCCCCATTAGCCTTAAGTGATATTTTAAAAGTAAAATACTCAACGCAAGCATTCAGCTGCATGCAAAATAGAATAAAAATTGATTAATGTCTTAACAAGAGAAGAAGCCCTCTTACAGACAGGAGAAACACATTATCCTTAAACAGGGGTTAAAATATACTGCAGAGTCTGCTAAACCTCTATTAGTACAGAAGGGGATGTCCTAGGATCTCACTTCAAATGTTTCTTAACCTAGCTCAGGGGCACCGTGTGTGCCTGGCATGCGCAAGGTCCTGAGTCAATTTCTGGTGTTTCTTAACCCTTTCAGGGAAAGCATCCTTCAGACTGTGTCCAGTGGAGATGTGTTTCTGCTGACAGGTAGATGTATAGTAAAGTTAAAAGGGCAACAGTGCTTCTCAGTATACTGAGAAGAATGGAGAACATCAGAGAGATGTAAATGTTTCCTAATTAAACGAATCTGAGCTGGGCATGGCGGAGTTTGTCTGTAGTTCCGTGGAGTCTGAGGTGGAAGGATTGCTTGTGCTCAGGAGCTCCAAGGTCAGCCTGAGCACCATAGTGAGACACAGGCTCCAAAAGAAGAACCTGACTCCTCAACACTACTTCCTGCCCTCACAGTGAGAGACGGAACATAGGGAGTTGTACTAAGTGATAGGAAGATTAAGTTCCATTCCTAACACTTTTTCTAGCTCTGTGACCAGGAACAAGGTACTTAAGACCTGCACTTTAGTTTATTTGTTTTAAATAGAGAAGCAATACTTTATTAAGTACTTCCTCAAGATTATCACACATCCCCTTTGTGGTACTTCAAATACCACACTGAAACAAGATTTATTCCATTTCTTCAAATATTTCTTAGGCTGACTGTTAACAGAACTCCTCTAATTGATAAATTAGGTTTTACTTTGATTTTCCATAGACAAAGGTGTATTTCTAGGCAAATTCTGTACCACTGAGCTACATCCAGAGGCGGAAAGGGTGTACTTCTGACTTTCTAAAGAATACTTAAACATTTTTATTCTTTGAAATCTGTGGGAAATAACATTGCTTTGGGATTCAATGAAACGATTTCTCAGTCTGTCCAGTTCTAATGTTCTGTTGATTGATGGTGAATAAATGACTTGCTCTTCATTTCTTATAGTCTTTCCTTCATCTAGTTTTCAAAGCACGTAACAGTCCAGGGAGCTTATTATGAAATTCTGTTACCTACATACTTGTCAGACAGGACTCTTGACTGGGGATACTTTTAACAGTTAGTGTTGCTTAACCTCTTGACACATGAAAGTAGCATGATCTTATGGAGTGAAGTCATCATAGCTTCTTATTTCCCGCTTTAGTCTGCTGAAGCCAAGCATACATTTTGTGCCAGCCCTGTTTTGGATTCCTTGATTTAACTTGGCCTATCTAGGATGGACAGAGGTGGTTTAGCATTATATTCAAGTGTATGGGCTCTGAAGCCCGGCTGGGTTTAAATTTCAGCTCCTCATTCTGATAATATTACTTCAGTCCCATTACTTAATTTCTCTGTGCTACAGTTACTTTATTGGTTAAGATCATTTTATTTATTATTCCTTTGATAGTACTACCTGCCTTAAAGAAATGTTGTAAGGATTAAATGAGTTAATTCACAAGAAAACCTTGAAACTTCCCATGGTCTATAAAAGAAGTATGCAGCAATGAAATTGTAACTGTTGAAAGAAACTGATGATTGAAAAACGAATTCCTTAACAGAAAATATTTGGGTTCTTCCCATGTTGTCCTTAGGTGGTACTGGTACCCGGGTGATCTGTTCAGATTGCTATGACAATGCCAACATTTACTCGAGGACTCGAGAATACTGTCCATACACCTATATTGCTGAGGAAGACATTCTAGATCAGACACTATCCAGCCTCATGGTCCAGATGCCCAAAGAGACATTTTTGTCATGTCCTCCCCAAGATGCAGCTGCCCTGGAGAACTTAGTATCATTGGCAGACCGAGAGCTGTCTGCCTTTCCCACCAACCATGAGAGGATAAATGAAAAGAAACCTCCCCCTACACAGATGAGCAATGGTAAGGAGTGCTTTTATATTTTGCTTTCATTTCACCTACTTCATTTTGCCATTTGTGATACAGGTAGCATTCTCATTTGACAGGGAACAAATTGGTACATTGGAATAATTGGTCATTCTTAACTGGGGTAAACTAGATCCAGAGACTCTTCTATATATTTGAGTTACAAAGTCTTTATCAGTAGGATGCAAACAGTTTTTGTGGGCTACTAAGATCACACTACAGAAAGTTCAGAGGCAATGCAGAAAACTGAAAAAGTTTCATATAGGATATTAGTATTTTTTTCTTTTTATTTAAATAACAGATTCAGAATGCTATAAATATAATTTAGGCATGATTAGTGAATGTTTTTACTGAAAAGACTTTACATGTTTGGTTTGGATGTTGTTCTATTTGGCAAATATTGAAGCTTAGCATCACCTGGCAGGTGTTGTTTTTGTCCTGTGCTGTACTGTTGAAACCGTAATTGGAAAGGCACCTTGGTATAGTGTCTTCTTTCCTGCCTGGCCCAGGAAGAGACTGTTGCACAAATATAAATCAGGCCTTTGATAACAATAGAGTAAAACAGTTCTCGCTAGACTCTGAAGGGTGGTATTGAGCATGTCTCCCTGGCCATCCGAGCTTTCCATCAGCTGTCCCCTCCTGTCAGCCTGAATGGGAAGAGCACTGGAAGCAGGGTAGGGATAAGAATCACAGGTTTACAGGAAAGTAAAGTGTGTAATGGTACTTTCAGATATGGTTCTGATGGGAATAATAAAATGATCTAACATGAGACTTGAAATGTGCTCTTTTGTTCTTAAGAGACCAGCTCTGACAGCATTTCTTAAGAGGATACACATCAAAGAAAACTACTATTTTTTGACGTTCTGGAGATGGAATGCTCACATATGTATGCTAAGCACACACTCTCCATTAAACTGTAGGCCAGCCCTGGTACATCTCTTTTTAACCGTGGACAGTCTTCACATTTCAAATCTGGTCTGTAAGTAAGGAAGTTAGCAAATGAGAGTGCTTTGGTTCATGTCCATTTTTTACCTTAGGCACTTTAGATTTTCGCTACATGAAGTATGGGCTAGAGACTATCATTGTTGTCATTAACTCCAGAGCTCAGTAGAAATGCAGTCATGCTCCCTCCCTAGAAATAGTGAATCTAAATCCACATTTCAACAAGATCCTCAGATTATTCCTGTGCATATTAAGCCCAGGTAACTACTGTAGCTTACTTTCCACATGGAATTCATTTTTACTTGTAGGTGTTTGTTTTCAGAGTGTTAGGCTAGCTTTTTCCAGAATGTACCTCATGAAGTTAATACAATTTTCAGTAAACCCTCTTTGGGAAAAGCACTCACTTTTGCTGTGAATAAGAATGAGAAATGCGTATTTCCAAAACCAAAGTACAAACAATCTGATTTAATATAGCCGTGTTTAGTTACTGTTTGTTTGTTGCTTATCATATGTTTGGTTCTTTTTATGTATGTCCATGGATCGAACCCAGGGACTTTGCACTGAGATTCATCTCCAATCTTTTTTAAAAAAATTTTGTATTAGGATCTTGCTGAGTTGTTAAGTTGCCCAGTCTGAGGTTGAACTTGTTCACGTATGTGAACTTGCCTCAGCCTCCCAGAATGCTAGCATTGTAGGCATGCAACACCATTCCTGGCTTGTTTGGTCTTATTTTGTAGAAGTTGAAAGGCAGTGGTTGTTTACTTTTAAAACAATTTAAGAACAATTAGAGGATGTAGTAGCTGTACTGTATCGACCATTATTAGCTGTGTATCTTGAAACTTTATTACGAAGGATACTATTAAGTTTCTTTAGTCTTTTTTTTTCATGTGTCTGAAGTTTTATTTTAAAATTTTTGAAACACCAGAACCACAAAAATAACAAGTGAAAGAACAAGATATATAGCATAGTTTAGAAATTGATTACTTTTTTATTAGTACATGTTTACAGTTCATGCAGGTCACAGTTACTTGGAGTGGTTACATGTACAGACCACAGCTTATTCTTTTTTTTTTTTTAATTCCCATCTCATCCCCTCCCCTCTTACTCCTCTTCCTCTTGTTCCCCATCCAATTTTCATTCTTCTTGATTTTATTAATCTTAGCTCATGTTTCAGCATAAAATGTTTACATTCATTAAAGTTATTAGTTTCCTATACATGGCATATCTTTATTCTATTTATTTCCCCTTCCTGTCCTTCTTAACTTCTTGCCCTAAATCAATTACATTTGATGATTAAAAGAATTCATTGGACCGCAACTGAGGTATTTCTTTTTTTTTTAATTACAACTAAGAAGATGGCAAGTGTATGCTTGATGTCTGTCCTTATTGGGAATATTGGGCATCTTTATTGCTTTGAGAATTTGGTTAAAAGCACATTAAGGTTTAGAAAATTAATTTTGAACTTCTGGTCACCACTGTTAATTTTTGTGTTTTCATTCTCAGAAGCATTGCAGCAGCCTCTGTGGAGCATAAACAGAGAACCAGGCCTGCCTCATCCTCTCTTTTCCCAGCAGCCAGCCCTTCAGTCACCACAACTACATCGGAATGAGGATCTGGCAGAGAGGGATCCAGACTGTTCTTCCCCCGTGCCCTGCCATAGGTTACAGGACCATGCTTTTGACTTTAGTAGGACTCAGAACATTCAAAATGGTAGCCAGGACACATGAAACCCACACCAGAATGAAATTTGGGCAGAGACTCAAGTTAGTTAATTTTTGTATTTACTACCTCACGATTTGTTTGTTTGTTTGGTGTTTGTTTGGGCTTACACTTGACAAGGAAAGGGTAGCGGCTGATGGAAGTGAGTGTATCAAGGTGAGAATATGTGGCACTGGCAGAGGAAGACATGGAGCAAATGTGTCTCCTGGGGGCCCACGGGAACGTGCCCAGGATTGCACCGCCTATCAGGAAGCCTCTCACTGCTGTTAACCTGCCGGATTGTCCTAATTCACGGACTGATCCTTTGAAAACATTGCTGCTTTGATGTTCTGTTTTGCCCTCCAAGGAGCAAAAATAACTTCGGAGCCCTCTAGGAAGTATACCTGGGGTCATTCAGTGGGTTTAAGCAGGTAGTTGAGACTAGGGCTTTGATATTCAAAGTCCTTGGCAAGAATCCCAGGTTTGACCAGCTGGTACCAGGTCAAAGGTTTTTGTATTCTTGTGAATTATTATTTTTGTCCCTATTGCCCAGGGATCTCATTGTAAATATGTGTGCATTTGTAAATAATTTTTCTATTCCTTGACTGTGTGTTGGTGGCAGTGTAAATATTTTTGATATGCCAAAATTATATATAATGTCTAGTTATTGTCAGCTTCTTAGATCAGAGAGTTTGTATAATTTAGTTAAGTGAGATCTAAAAACTTTGTTTAAATGAAAACTTTGTTTAAAGTTCTGAAAACTTACTCTCAAGAATTATATGTATAGAGGCAGGGTACTTAGTGATTGCATACATACAAACACAATCTTGGTGTGACTAACTGCTTCTTTCATGCTTAAACATTCATTTTCATTTGTCATCTGTGTACAAGTGCCAGGCAAGATTCTCTTTGCAGCATAAAAAGCCTTGTTTTTTCAGAGCCTGATGATTTGTCATTGCTATTGTGAACTAGAAGATTTGTTTTAGGAATGATTTTAGCAAATCACTTCATTGACAAGGAAACCAAAGATTGCTGCTTTTCTTCTTTTTTTGTTTGTCAATATATCTTGGAAAGGAAGTCCTCTTGAGAGTAGAACATAACATAAATTTTTATACTATAAAGCTTTGGAATGGTCCTTGTTTTGTACGTTTTTGTTTAAGCCAAAAAGTTTTCTTGAATATCTGATCAAAGAACTTTATGTAAACAAAGAACTTAACATTTTAATGTGATGGACATTTTTTGTGCTTTCAGATTTGCTTATACAGGCTGTTCAGTTTTATCTTCTAAATCTAACATTAGCCTTTTACTAGATATCTTCACTCTCTCAAATAAAAATGTATAAGTTGTTATGTGTTTCCAGGGTTCTAAAGTCACATAATTTCTCAGCATTTTCTCAGAAAGTTAGCTGAATTTTATATTCTTTCCTGGATAGCAGCACCTTTTTTTTTGAACTGTTAGGTTCTGTTCATTTACACTGTGAATTTTTTTCTCTTTTTCTTTTTTGATAGTACTGGGAATTGAACCAAGAATCAAGAACCCCAGCCCCTTTTTGATTTTTATTTTGAGACAGAGTCTCACTAAGTTGCCCAGACTGGGCTAGAACTTTGCAATCTTCTTGCCTCTGCCTCCCAGAGGGCTGGGATTACAACAGTCCCTTCAATATGCACACCCGCCTCCCCAGACAAAGTCTCACTTTGTAGTTCAGGCTGGCCCTGAATCTATTACGTAGCTCAGGCTGGTCTTGAACTCAGGCAGTCCTCCTGCCTCTGCCTCCCGAGTGTTGGGATTACAGGTGTGAACCACCACACTCAGCTTGTAGTCCCTCTTTTTACTAAGTTACAATGATAGCTTGTCCCAGACAGAATTAAGAAACTTCTCGCTTCTTGGCTTTGCTTCCTACTAGCTATGTAATCTAGAGCAGGTCTTTTTACTTCTCTAGGCCCATTTTTCTCATTTAGGAAATGAGGCCCTTTAACTGAATGCTCTGAAGCCCCCTCCAGTTGTAATATTATATGAATCTGCAATTCCCTACAGGAACCAAAGAGGATTATGCTACTTTAATAAAAAGCTGCTTTCATGAAATACTTGTTAGCATTAGAGTAACAGTGTTGCTGCTTGCTATAAATTGAGCCAAATTCATTTCCTCTGTAGCAGGAATAATGATCTAAGAAATACTCTAAGGGGAAGAAAATTTCTGCTTTTGTGTGCATGCATGTATGTGTGTGTGTGACCAAGGATTGAACCCAGAGCCTTCACCCCGAGCTACATATCTAGCCTTTAAAAATATTTTTTAAAAAATTTTGAAACAGGGAGTGGCTAAACCTAGACTGAGCTTGTTTAAAATCTTCCTGCTTCAGCCTCCCCAAGTGGTGGGATTATAATATGAGCCATCACACTTAGCTGATTCTCTACTTCTAAGACAGTATCTGTCTGTAAACTTAAAGAATCTTGTGTGGGGTGAAAGCTCACCAATTGCTTTCTGAAGCAGCAGCTTTCCAGAGGGTCAGGGTCAGCTGAGGAGCGTGCACAGTTGAGTTTGTGACTGGTGTGTGCCTCACCTTTCTGGTGAATTCAGAATTACAGTACCCTCACTCAGACTCAGAGGCATCTTTCCGAATGGGAACCGTGGAGTTACGGCTGTGTGACCAGACTGCCCGTGAGCATCAGCTGTCAGGCGTGAGAGAGCAGGAGATAGGTTGAGAGGGCCCTAGAAACTCGTCCAGGAGCGCCACCTCCGTCTGCTTTCCATACCAGTGGTGTCAGGCTGAACTCCTGGAGGTTCAGGTTATTCTCCAGTACGTCAGCTCTTGTGGTTGAAACATACTCCACAGGTATTCCCACCTTGCTGTAATAACTAGTCAGGAAACGGTTTAAATGTCAAGAGCCTACCTCTGGTCTTAATAGCATCAGTTCAACGCCAAGGCAAGGAATTCCTGAAACTTCTTTGTTGTGTATGTTTTTCACCAAACAAAATATTGGCTTAGTGCTTTGTCCTTTAATATAAACAGTATTAGTGGCCCATCGGTGTTTCTTCCCAGCAGTACAATGCCTCTCATGAAGTAATCGGGGACATTGCAAAGCAGGGCAGACTTGAAAGGCTGAAATACTGACTTGCTGCCCAGTTGCCACTTCACTGCACACATAGCTGCTCGTTGTTTGTGCCCCCCTTAGCTGCTTCTCCAAGCCTGCCTGGAAGAAGAAGTAGCACTTTCTTTGAGTGCCAAGCCTTGCTGGCACTCTTGAGTCTGCACCTAAGCTGTTGGCTTTCTGTCGCCCAGCATCTGCTAAGTGCTTTCCCTCAAATGCAAGCTACTCTGTGGAAGAGAAAGTACCAGAAACCCAGTCCAGTGTCAGTTGCCCCTGAGGTGCCACCTCTGGTTTAAATGTGCGTTTAAAGACGGTTGCCTGCACATTCCCAACCGAGAGCTTGTAAGAGGAACACGAAGCCATCATGCAATTGAGACTGGTTTCCCGCTCTCTTATGAAAAGGGAGATGTGATAGAAATCCTGGAGAGGATCCCATGCAAGGGCAGGAGTCACCTACATGGTGGTGTATATACACCTGCTGGTAATTTTACAAATTCATCTGACAGTTGGAATACTCAGCCTTTCTGGGGCAAAGTACATGCAGAAGCTAGGCATCTACTAAGTGTAGAAGAGAGTTGTGCTTGAGGTGGAAAATGGACAAGATGACTTTTAAGGTCTTTTTTCACTTTTGTCATTGGAAATCTCCACATGCAATCTGATAGTCTTAAAAACATTGTCCTCTAAAATCTTGTGTGTTCCATTTAAGAGCATTTCAGATTTTTTTTCCAAACTCTGGAGTGAGGTTGACAAAAGGGACCTGAGGGACCTCAGTTGAAATGGAATTGAAATTCTGGTGTTCAGTTTTATACATGTGTGTTAACGGCCTTTTCCCTTAATTTTAATATCCATAGAAATGCTAGAGGGGTAAGGGAGCCACAGAGTAAGTTTGCTGTTGGGTGTTTTTTCTTTTTTATTCCCAGTGCTTGGGTTTAAAACCAGAGCCTTACGCATGCCAAGTATGTGTACTACTACTGAGCTACACCCTCAGCCCCAAATTTTCTTTCATTTTATGTAACATGGTCCATTTTTAAAGTCTGTCTCTTACTGCAGATTATAGAGGTAATTGTGAAAACAATCAGACCTTAGAAGGTTGGGGTAAGTTCTTTTTGGCAACCTGCAAGTAATTATTTTCTATTGTATGATCTCTTTCCCAGTTCAATTTGGTTTGTTTGGAGTACAGTCTAAATCAACATTAGTTGCATTGGATGTCTTTCTCTTTTGGATAACTGCCTGGTTCACTGACAGAAGTACTAGTTGTGAATTAAGAGATGTTCTGCATTATGAACTGTACTTAACATTTTAAAACCCCAGCATCATCTTGAGGATTTGTGGGAGAGGAGTGTGTGTGCATCTGTGCGTGTGTGTGCGTTTGTGTTGTGACGCCAGGGATCAAACCCAGAGCCTTGCACGTGCTAGGCAAGCAGTGTACCACGGAGCAACATCTCCATTCCTTGGGAGGGTGTTTTAAGTGTTAAGATTGGTGGGACTGGTGAATTAGCTCAGTGGCGCCATACCTGCCTGGCAAGCACAAGGTCCTGAGTTCGATTTCCAGTACCACACAGACACACAAAAGTGAAGTTGGAGCTACTCCTTCAAGATTGTGTGTTGTTTCTTAGCAGTCCTAATAATCTCCAAGGGGTGGGGTGAAGGTGAAGAACAGCTTAACTTGTGAGTGCCTGTTTTTAGTTGTAAGGAGTAAAGTATCCTTGTAAAAAAGTATAACTGTTTTGAATGAAATTGATCACGTGGCCCAGTGCTCTTGAAATATTTGACTACTTAATGTGTCTTACTGGTCCATAGAGAGGCTTATTTCTTCTGTTCTCTCTCCCTTTTCCCCTGTTAGAGGATGTCGGTCTGAGCAGCCCTGTTAGACATCCCTAAAGAGAAGTATAAACGAAGTTGTTCAGTGTGGCTCTTTCCTGGTATCTATATTTTCTCATGCATAAGAATGTATATTTTATGGAGCATGTGTTTGTTTACTTGTTTGTCTCCTGTAATACTTCTTCAATAAAGCTCAAAATTTATAACCTTCTGTTCTCTTGTCTGAAGTACAGGAGTGAAATGGTACATTTCCGAGTTGCATCCTTTTGACGGAGTCTTCAAGTAGCTGAACAAGTTAAAACAAGAGTTGTTCTTCTCTAGTTCCTGCCTAGTCACGTGTTCCCCCAGGCCTGCCTCTCGCCGCACCTTGCCGCCAAGCTATTCAGGACCGGTAGGCACTGTGCGCTTTTCTGTTTCTTACCTTGCGCTGCCCATCTTGGTGCTAGACGGCCGGCAGGTCTGGAAGCTAATACACTTTACAGTTCATTAGAAAGAGTATTTTCGGCTTAGGAAGAACTTGAGGCAATATTTCTAATTAGGTAAATCTTGAACAGAATATGTGAAGAATATCAGGATTTAGCAACACTTACTGTACTGTCTTGGGGCCCATTCCCTTTGCAAAAAGTTATCTCTGAACAGGGCTCAAAATAGGTAGAGGTTTTGTTTTACCCACAGTTTTGCTGTGCAGCCCAGGTTGGCCTTGAACTCCAGATTTTCCTGCCTCAGTCTCCGAAGTGCTGAGATTACAGGTATGCATTGCCATTCCTGGCTTGGGGTCCTAATGCTGCTATCTTTGTGTACATCCGCTGCATTTCATCTCCCTCCCTTGTTTTTTTTTCCCAGCTTTAATTGAGTTTATTGGTACATTTTAGGGATACAGTACAGTTACATTCATTGTTGGGATCTTGTACCTCTACATGAGAAGTCTTGATTCTCATTTTTTCCCCTTACTCCTGCCCTCCCTTCACCCCCTCCTCCCCTCCCCATCTACAAACACTTTATTTTCATCTTTTCATTATCTCATATTTTTTTCTTTTCCCTTATTACCCTTCCCCTACCCATCCCACCTTCCCTACACCTTTATCCTTCCCTTTTTTCCCAGTGCAGGGGATTGAGTCCCAGGCCTTGTGCCTGCTACCACTGAGCTGCACCCCCAGCCTGTGCACTTTGCTTTTTATGAGGTAATTTCCATAAATTCTATCCCATTCAAATCCCAAAAACCTATGTCAATAGACAATTTATTTTATTTTATTGTTATTATTATTTTTTTGGGTACCGGGGATTGAACTCGGGTCCTTGCGCTTGCAAGGCAGGCTACTGCACCGCTGAGCTAAATTCCCGGCCCTTTTTTAATTTTTAAAGGTAACATATGTACATTTTATTTCAAGAAAGACATAAACAGCATAAAGATGCCCAGATGTCCTAAAGATAAATACATTTCAAGATTCTCATTAAAATGAATCTGTAGTAGTTTTTCCTGCAAGCAAAATACCTTTCTTCAAATTAAAAAAAAAAAAAATCAGTTTCTGAATTGCAAATGCTTTTTTTTTTTCCCCAGAAAATCTGCCACAGTTATTTATTAATGAATAAGGATTCTCCACAAAACAGGCTTGGTTTACCTGCAAAATTTT